CCATCTTTATGGTTCCGTTCTTGGTACACTGTAAGTTAGCTTTTAACATTAGAACCCTAGCTTTTGTTTAAGCTCTAGCCAATCGACAAGCTAATTCCCATAGTCCAGCTGAGGAAGATACATTAGTCATCTATGATGACACATCGAGCATCATAGTATTTAATAACCAACCAAAAAAAAAGTTGATCTAATGCTACCCAATCTTTAAATTTTGGGTTAATCTATGCAACATCATTATCGATAATAAATTGAGGTGGACATTTGTGAACACCGTATTTTGTCCAGGCATTTTTTAAATTTAACAAAAATAAAAATAAGTAACCAAAAAAAATATAAAAATGCAAAATATAAATTTAATCCTTTTAAGATTATATTTTCAAAACAAAAAAATCTAATTTAATTGATAGGGCTTAATTTTATCTTTTTGATTAGGATTTTATTTCTTTTAGCTCATTAAAATAAAAAAGTCTTATTTAAATCTTTTAAAATCTCTCCCAAATTATCTCAAATATTTAAAAAAAATAATTAAGTGTAAAGGGAATTAACTTTTCTATCCTTAAATCTTATTTTGCATTAAAATTAAAAATATAACCTTAATCTAAAAAAAAGACATTAATTCAAAAAAATATATAAGGCTGTGGTGAAACGCACAGCCTTTCACCACAGCTAATAGCAGACGTCTTCAGTGCTGATCAGGGAGGAAAGAAAACAGAAACACGAGCAGAAACACGCAACAGTTACGCAGAAGCATACCAGAGAAGCAAGCACAAAACAAAAGAAAAAGGAAGAAGAGAGAAAGCCAAAAAGATCAGTCTCGCATGCACGTAAACATGTGAACAGAAACCAGAGCAGAGAAGAAAGGAAGCACGCACAGCAAAAACAGAAACATGCATGGAACAGCGAGAAGCATACAGTAAATGGAAAAGGAAACGGAAAGCATGGCACACGCAGAAAACGCAGTTGAAAATAAGAAAAAAGAAGAAGCAGAGCAGCAGAAACACGAAAGACCAGCGCAGAAAGCAAGCACACGCATGCACGAAAAACATGCTAAAAAACAGAGCACGAATAAAATGCATGAAGAGGAAAAAAGGGAAGTGAGGAAAACTGGAAAAGAGAGAGTATAAAAGGGAGGTCACAGCAGAGAACAAGGGGGACCGAAAGGGGCTGGAAAAATAGAGCAAGAAAGCAAAAAAAAAACTGAAGGCAGTGACAGTGAAGAAAAGACAGAAAACGTTGAAAAACAGAGCAAGAAAAGAAGAAAAAAAAACCTGAGAAAAAACAGAGGAGAGAGAGAGGAACGAAAGGTGAAAACAGAGGCAAGAGAGGAGGTGACGGAGAAGCTTTTCTTTCTGGAAAAGTTGAGAAGGAGAAGAGGGAGACCAAAAGTTGAACGAAAAAAAGAGACTGAGGGACGGCGAGAGGCGAAACAGAGGCAAGAGAGGAGGAGCAAGAGACCGAGAGAGGCGAGTCTTTTTCTGGAAAAACAGGAACTGAGTAAGCCGAGAGGAGACGAAGCTGAGACGTGCTACACACAGGAGGAGGAGGGAGAAGAGAGCTGGACGTGAAAACTGAAAAAAAAAAGAGACTGAATGAGAATGTGCGCAGAAGGAATGTGAAAGCTGGAAACCAGGACAGAGAGAAAGAGGAAACGAGATCAAAAAGAGAGTAATCTGCTGGACTGGTGAGACAAAGCTGAGACGTGCTACACACAGGGTTAGTAGTCTGCTTGTTTAAAAATTTGAAACTCTCGTTTTGATTTCAGTTTATTAATTTCCAAACAAATTTCATGTTTAAATACATGTCCCTCATTTTTTAGTTCTTAAGTAAAAATCAATGTAATTGTCTTTTTCTTAAAAAATAAAAAAAGAGAGAGTATGAAAAAGAAGGATAAAGAGATTGCAAATAATAATTTTGTTTGCTATCATAACTAAGCTTAATGCAATTTTAGGCATAATCTCATTTCAAATAAAGAAAGAGTTAGTGCAATTATTAGGCAGGGTTTTAAATATGTGTTTAGCATGAAAGGGCGTATTAATATGTGTGGGCATGTTTTTTCATTTCCATTAGTCCTAAAGTCCTTTAATTGTCAATAATATTACACTCATATTGTATGACACTTTCTAGGATGATCGCATGTACGATTTCAATTATTATGAAGAGCCTATTTTATAAAAGGAGGAGGAGAGAAACTTTGATTATTACCCAATTGAAAAAAAAACATGAAATAAGTAAGAGAAAATTGGTTTCTAATCACTTACTTGTCGTGTGAGATTTTAAAAAATTTCCGCAGACATTTAAAGCAATCTCGTATCATGTAAATCAATAAGATTTCGGATATATGAGAGCAAAACTTATGTGTTAAAATTAACTGTCCTTTTATAATCCAAATTAATAATTTATTTAAGTTCCATGTGAGATTTTAAGGATCTTCATAGGAACTTAAACTAATCACATTATCGTGTGGGATAATAAGTCCTCGCAGATATAGTGATTTTTAACTTTTATAGAAAAGTGATTTTTCATATAATATACAATTTAAGAAACTTAATTATCCAAATTAATGTATTTAAATTGTAACCATATTTACCGATTATATCTTCCAGTCATGTGAGATTTTTGAATCTCTGTAGACTTATAAGATAATAGTATTATCGTGTGAGTCAATAAGACTCTGCAGATATAACGATTAAACTTTTTAAAATATATGTATATAAATTATATATTAAATTAATTAAATTAAAGATGTATTTAAATTTAATTCCTTTATCGTGTGAGATTTTAAAATTTTCGCAGATATTTAGGATAATCATATTACCGTATAAATCAATAAGGCTTTACAGGTATGTTGATTAAAATTTTTCAAAACATGTATCTACATGCTAAAAAATTTATTATTAACACTTAAAAATGTACATAAGAATATAAATAAATAAATTAAATTGCCAAACTCTTTTATCGTGTGAGATTTCAAAATCTCCGCAGATATTTAGAGCAATTGCATTATCGTATAATCAATAAGGTTCTATAGGTACTGCAATTAAAATTCCCAATCATAAAACATAAAGAAAAATAATTTTAAACCATTTTCTTTCTTTATTCCAAAAATTTAAAAATGAAGAAAATAATTAAAATTAAATTACCTTTTGCAATTTAAAACACACATATCAAAATTTCAGAAATTGTTTTATTTGCAAAATGGTGAATTATTTTTAATTAATTTCTCTTCAAAAAATATTTTCACCAACAAACTTTTAAGTCCGAACTACGTGAACTTTAATCCCCATCACAGGATACGTAAGCCTCAGAGTCAGATTCTGAGTCAAGTCCGTCCTCCCTCGTAAATAAATAAACATTTCTCACTCAATTATCATCATTTTTATATCAGACACATGAATATAAAAGAGATAATTAAAATAATTATAAAACCATATTAATAGAGCACAATAAACTTTAGGTAACCGTTCTGACGAATGGGTGTTGTGGGGTGCCTAACACCTTCCCCACACTCAACCGACTCCCGAATCTATTCTCTGATTTCGCAGATCACCCTTATCCTCTTTTTAAACGGTTTCCCGAGATTTCCCTCAAAATCTTGGTGGCGACTCCTCGTTCCGTGCGGTTCCCGCCAAGAAGGTCGGGACCTCCGCTCGCCTGCCGTCCGCGTCGCATTTTTTCGGGTGCGACAACATTTGACTATTCCATTTAAGAACTCTTCAAGTTTATGCCCCTTGATAATAAGTAGAACATGTGTTTGCCATATTAAAAAATTTTGTACCATCCAACTTGACAGCACAATTGATTCATCCCATTAACACCTCTAGCATTTTTTGGCAGGTTGCTTGCAAAGATAATGACTGAGAAATGGACCCTGTGGAGCCAAGGAAAGTTGCTGAAGTTTTGGGAGAAAGTTCAACCATGGTGATGAATCTTTTGGCTCTGATACCAAGAAGAAAAATAAGAAATGTATTTGTGTAATAGCAGCACACATGCCTCTGAATTGTGTATTGCTATTTATAGAGTAGGTTTGAAACCTTAGGTACAAGTAATTATGCCAGATGGTAAGTAAACAATAAATAGATATATACAAGAAAGAATATGAAACACAACACTTAATTAAATAGCAGATTGGGCCTTCTGTGACTTGTAGACTCTATTAGGCTTGTATGAGAGAAACAGAATATTGGGCTTAAAGAATAATTGATGATTTGATTTAACATTCTATAATTAACAAAGAGCATAAAACCAAAAGTTATACATCCAATCACAAGAATAGCTTTAAAGAACAAAAAATTAATATTTCAATTACTAATTTCAATCAGTAGACAATAATGTCACACGAAAGAGAGGGTAGAATTTACACTAAGGAGGAAGAAGAAGACCACATACAAACAATTTACACTGCTGAAAATCAAGGAGGAGAAAAATCAATTCAGATTTACACTAATTTGAAACCCAAAAATGAATCAAAGAAGACTAAGAGAAACTCACAATAAAGGGAATCGAGAATAAACCAATAAGCATGAAATGGAGCTCTTGGATGCACGAAATGGAGAACCCACAAGCACGACATTGAGAAATGGAACCCATGATCAAAACCAAGTTAAATCTCATGCACCCAACGATTCACTACAAAACAAAAAAAAAAAAACGGGACTTAGGCACACAAAATCCGTTGCTAAATAAGGAAACATCTCTCTCTAAACCTTTAGAGACCGATTTTGAGACGGATTTTAGGTCATCACTAGAAGTGGCAATGCTAAATTTTAGAGACCGACTTTTGGTGCAGTCTCTAATTCAGAGACGACACTCATTCGTCGCTAACTTTTAGACATTCGTCTCTATTTCTTAATTAAATCCGTCATGGTAATTGAATTAGAGATAGAATATATCTATCTGAAAATCCGTCGCTAAAATAACATAAAATCGGACGCGAAAAAATTCATATCTAAATCCATCTCTAAATTCAAACAAAAATTGAAAAAAAAAAAAAAAAAACTGTATTCCCAAAGACCAATTCCATGAGAATACTGATAAAAAGTTATTAGCACAATAGAAGCTTAAAGTTAACAATATATTTTTTACATTATTGTAAATCTTACTCCCCCACGTTTTCACATCCTCTTATAACCACAGATAATTAAACATTAGCATTTCAAACTTGTATATTTATGAAAATTACAACATAAACAAATGTACGTGATTCCTTATCCAATAGAAAAGTTGAGAATGTCATTCCAACTCCATCATGGCCAGAGATATAGTCAAATGCCTATGCTTCTTAAGTGCCTCTTAGACAATAGCTTCCATCTCAACAAAAAAAGAAAAGAAACTTAGAACATTCAATATATCAATCAAAAGCCTTATTTGATGGGAAATGATTTACATCTAACCATAATAAAGTAAATGTGAATGTTCCATTACTTCAAACTTAATGCAAACTCACAATAGAGACAGCTTGCCTTGCTAAAATAAAACCTAAATGTCAAGCAAATAGAGACTTGCATGTTTTAACAGGGAAAAAAACAGGGGCATATGATTTCTTTTGGGCTTTGAGCTAGGTTGCATAGATACGGGTACAAGTATCTGATACGATACGGCATGATACAGAGATACAGCAAATTTTCAAAATTTTAGAATATGGGTACAAGGATATTTATAATATATATTTTAATATTTTATGATATAAGTATAGGTATTTTGATTTTTAAACAAGAATTTCTAAAGTAATATAAGAATATTTATAGTAATTAATTAAAATATCAAGTGTTTTTTCAAGTTTTTAAGTGACATAATAAAAAATTATTGAAAAAAAAATCATATCACAGATGTGAGAATATGAGATACGTATGCAGAAATATCCTACAAATATCGTATCGGATACAGATACGTTTACTTTTTTTAATCCATGCTACATAGGTTTTGAGAGCCTAAAACTAAAACAGAGTTTAGTATATGTAACAAGCAAAGGAAACCCAAACTTTGGATCAAGCATATTTGTCACAAGGTAGGTCTTTCATGTGAATTCCAAGCCAAATGATCATGCCACGTACTTAAATCAATTCTTATGTGTTATTTATAGCAAAGATGAGTTTCTCATGCAAAGACAATGCGAAATAGACATGTCTATAAGTTACAAATAATCCTATGTTTAGTTTGAAGCATCACAACACGATAATAAATCATGAATAGCATCAAATCTTTTCTACATCTTTGCTATGATTTAAAGGAAAAATAATTCCAACCTTAGCTAGCTTTACTCATTCTTCATATGATTCATATTAGAGGCTCACATCAACGTAATGCAAACAAGTATATGTATAAACCTAAGCAGTCAAAGAAGAAAGCATTATATATGTGTGTGTAATATTTAAATACTACATCCATTTAAACAAAAATCCAAGCATGAATAAAGCCATACTCTGCATTTTTACTTGAGTAGTTTAATGCAACACATACAAGCAGGCAAGCATCTTTTATAAAAATCACTACATAATGTAACTTTATGCATCTTCAACCTCAAAATCAAACAAGCTAGTGTTCAAGAGCACCCAATATCTCAAACTAGTTATTATTTTACTAACAACAGATTAGCTACGAAGTTGGAAAGTTTTGTTATTCCACCTTTCTCAATCCAAAGCTTTCCCCTTCATTTGTATGAAGAGAATAGGTGGCCACCAAGCTAGAGGGTGTCAAAAATGGAGAAGATGAATCGAATGGTTTAAGAGGAGAAAATCATGAGCTATAACGTATAAAAAATGTTAGAACTGGTAAGAGCAAAATTTACTTGCAACAAGATATAAAGAGAAACACAAGAACATAATAGTAAAAGATCTTCCTTGCAAAATTTACTAGAAGGAAGATTTGGGTTTGTGAAGTCCTGTAAAGTATTAGGAATAAAACTAACCAATAAGTAGCATTTTCAAAATTAAATACCGAGAATAGATATTTTTTCCAAACCAAATGCACATGAAACTATGATTGAATTAACAATCTAACTAGACCTTATTCTTGGCTGAGCATTAGAATAAAACTGTAAAGCATTAACTGCAGCAGGAACATCTTGTATTTGGAGAAGAGCTTGCAAGAATGGTAAGTACTTTAGAGGAGAACATCAACTGCAACAGAAAATAATTCTGAGACACTGGCAAATAACAAATGTCATTAAGGCAAGAAAAACCTGATTTTTTGCACGCAGCATCACAAGTTTTGTTATTATGACTCCAAAAGGTTGAAATAGCGTGAAATAAGAATAGGTTGAAATAAGAAATAAATCATTGGACCCATAAGATTTCAAAAAGACATTGTTGCATTTTCGGATTCGCATCTTAGGCTTTAGTATTTAGCAGATAAATCACAAAGAAATCCCCAGATTGAGTAAGGAAATCAGAATGAAATCCCATAGATTTAGCAAAGAAATCTAATAGAAATGCATCGAAACATTGTAGCCATCTAGATCTAACCTAAAAACACATTACCCCATATGAAAAGATCTGCTGAAGTGAAGGAGAAGAGCGTACAGTATTAGTGTGTGACTGACCAAGGGAGAAGACGCGACCAGATTTGTTGAAGAGGAAGACACCAACAAACTGAGGGAGAAGTCGCAAAGCACCAACGATGGCAAGGAGAGGAGATAACGCGTGAGGGTTTCACAGCGGCAATGGAAAGCCTTACAGAGAGAGAGGCGAGAGCGAGATAGTGAGTGATTGAGCGGCACTGGAGAGATTTTCGTCGGAGAGGAGCTAGGGTTTTTTTACTCATAAAGTATTTTAAAAATAAAAATAAAATATTAGTAGAACATCTATTTTGAGATTTGTCATATCTAGATAAGTTTTGGAGATATAAAATTGTTTAAACTAATAGGGGAATGATAAGGCATGAATCCATCAATTAGGTTGATAAAATAATTTATTTATTTAAACAAATATAATATATATGTGTGTGTTAGATATTTTTAGTAATTAAATTATATTTTAGATACTCTTTGTTTTTCCGATACAAAGAAACTCTTTCTAATCAGTTCAATATATATATATATATATTTCTCATACTTTATGTTGTGACAAATTCCAATTATGCTAACATTTTAAATCTTTATTAAAATTTCAAATATACATGTACTCATGCAATTGGAAAATAAATGTTGACTGTATAACTCCTCCTGAGCAAAATGAATTTATATAACATATCAACGAGATTTTTTTCTCCTCAAGAATAATTATATCTTTTCATAACTATAAAAAGAATATGTATATTTTTTAAAATGAAATTAAATATTTTAAATTTGTAGCATCAATCAAATGATTGAAGTAACAATCCTTCGCAAGGCATAGTTAATTTGGAGGAGGAGATGAGGAGGATGGAAAACCAAGGGTGAAGGAAATAAGGGTATTTTTCACTTTTGAAAGTGTGTCATGAATTTATTAAATTTTGTAAAGGGTCTTGTATTTAAAAACCAATGATCTTATAAATAGAATAGGATGAGGTAATATGTATATTTAGAGGTTTGATTTAAAATATTCATAAAAAATTAGAGTAAAAACACATTGAAGGTCAAGCTCCCAAAACATATAGGTTTAGATCAAAGTTCGAATTAGAGCATTACACTTCAACACACTCAGCATGTCCATCTCGTTACATTACAAATAATGTTTGTATTTAATTATTAAAAATATTTCTATCAATGTGTCTCTAAATTCGTCTCTAACAAAATAATAGAGACGATTTTAGAGATGACATAAAAAATGTATGTAAAAATTTAATAGTCCATCTCTAAATTGGTCTCTAAATTATTTTAAAATAATATAAATAATTTTGTCTAAAATTCATCTAAATTAGAGACAAATTTAGAAACTAACACTACTAAGACGATTTAATGCGTCTCTAAATTCATCGCTAAAATAAAAGTTAATCATTTTTAACAAATTTATTATCCGTCTCTATTTCCATGTCTAATAGAGGCATATTAAGATCTATCTCTAAAATATGTCTCTAAATCAATTTTTTTTTTTTGTAGTGATTGTAGAGTGCAAAATGGAAGTGGAATAATTGGAAATGTGATTTTGGAGCTTTCTGGGGGAGTTTTGAGTGGTAGGAGAAGAGTCCATTGCAAATGAAAATGGATCTAGATGGCATTTTAAAATAGAAATATTTGACGTTTATTTTATAATAACTATCAAGTTTTATATATTTGACGCTTGTTTTAGAATAACCATCAAATATATACTTATATATTTGATAGTTATTTTATAACAAGCATTGAATATATATACATATATATATAAAAAACAAATTTCAAATATAATCTATTTGACACTAATATTTAATATGATCATCAAATATATCAAGTATATATATATTGAACAAGCATCAATTACTATAATTATATTTGAAGTTATTTCCTAATAAATATTTACATTAAAATACTTGACGGTTGTTTAAAAATAACGATTAAGTATTCTTCACCTTTTTTAATCATCATTTTTCACAAATAACCATTAAATAAATGATGTCTTATTTAGTCTTTTGTGTAGAAATGATATTCCATCTAGCATACTTGTTGCATGCTTTTTTTTTGGTCAAATAAATATTTTAAACCCTTATGATTACTGTACATCTTGAACTACATGTCATAATTGTGCCTTTAGCTTTTAAAAGCAAACACCACTACATCCAACTTTAAATCATGAGTTGGATAATTCTCCTTATATGGTTTAAACTGTAGTAAGGCATGCATAAGCTACCACTTTTGCATTTGATAATGTCATGTTGTGTCTTACCTTTTATATTTGATGGTTCTCGCAGAATTTCTGATAAGAATATTTTGTGAGAAACAACTCTTTTTTAATAAACTTTAAAAATGTATAATTTATTTCACAAACTTTGAAATATTATAAATTAAAACCGTATGAAAAACTTGAAATGTGCAGAAAGATGCATCCAAAATCAAACAATAACTCGTAGGAAGTAATTAATGTATTATGTTGGACCTGATTTATATTAGGCTAGGTTTATTTTGGTTTTTCCCCATGGAATCGTTTTCAAAAATATGGTCTTATGACGATGTTTGTTTGTTTTTTTTTTTCTAAAAAAAAGTTTCTTAAAAAAATTACATGGTTTAGTAAATTGTTTTTTTTTATTTAGAAAAGTACTTTTCTTTGATTTACCCGAGAGTTTTGTTGAAAGCACTTTGGTAAAGTTAGTTATTTTTATAAAAAAATTTGTAATCACATACCATAGCATTGTACATACAAAATGTTCATGTATGTTTTGTCTCTACATATTAGAGCGTCTTTTTTTTTTTTCCATAAATACTTCAACATGTGTGCTTTTTTTCAAAGTAGTAGTGACAAGCTCCATTTTTTTTTTTGGTGAATAGAAAGGGGCAACGGCCCAAATACAAAAACAAAAAAGCAAAATCAACATCTATCAAAACCCAATCCACATCTATCAGCTTAACAGGTCAATCGAATAGAATTGATAATATAAGTCATCCCGAGACCCATGGGCTAGCCCGCAGCAAGTTGTGGGTTGATATAACCTGCATCTTGTGCAATGTACATATTGCATTTCTACTAACCTACCAACCTGCAACGGGTTGGGGTAACCCACCAATAAAAAATATTTTTTATATATATTTTTTTAATTTTAAAAATTACAAATTCATCATTAATTGTTAGCATCACACAATTAAACATGGAAATATAGTTAACATGTAAAAGTCTAAAAAATTAAATTAAATTTGATATTAATTTGAGTAAAGGTTAGCAGGCTAACTTTTTTTTTGGCTAGGTAAGAAATTCTGAGTTTATTAAAGTAAAATATAATAACAAAGACAATACAAGCAAAAATAAAGTTAGGATTTATCCGCAGCTTGACAACATAGTAACTCATAATTTAAAAATCGTTGAAGAGAATTTGAAGATTGATATATAAATCATTTTAAATGACTCTAAAAATGATTCACATGCCACTCGAGATGGAACTACAAATGGCAACAAAAAATAAAAAATTTGAACCCCACATAACCTTTAAAAAAATACATGGATATATTGATCATGCCTAATTGAAAATATTTTACTCAATTTAGATTGTGAAAAAGTCTTTGGTTGGGTGCATGCTATACTAATACACTCAACTGGTCATGGATTTATAGCTATCTTAACTAATTAAATGTAACAAGAAATAACGACAGTAAATAATAAGCATGTAATTTGAATTATTATAATAATTTAAGGGGTGAAACCTTTGACCTCTTAAAAGTTTGAAGTAACTAGGAAATTTACCTTGTACTTTTGCGTATTAATTAATTTTTTGATTTATGATTGATAGTCAAAATGTGTAAAATTAAATGAATTGCAAGTTCGAATGAAATATTTGAGAAAATCCACTATGTAGATGTTTGCAAAAGTTCAATAATATGTTATATGCACAATTTCCTTAAGACATGAATTGTGGATTTCTTGTGATATGATTGTGCGAGGAGTTCTATAATTGCGTACTATGAGAATTTAATGAATGTGCATATTATTGCGGAGTTCAATGATTTTTGAATTTGTGAAATTCAATGAGTATGTGTTAGAGAATTAAATGACTATTCAAAAAATGTGAAGTTCAATGAGATTGTTAGTGGAGTTCAACGATTTGATTGTATATAATATGTGATTATCATGTATATGATTGAGTATATTGATGAGGTGATGCATGCTTGATTGCTGAGTAAATGCACGCTTGAATTGTGCATTTCATGATCTTGAGAGATGGGAGTTCACCTAAATAGAGAAGTAGAGATTTAAATGCACGTGGTAGGGTTTCCATCCGAGTTGATGGCTTGCCTGAATTGTTTATATACATATTGTCCCACTTATTCAATGAAGGACTGTCCCACTGGTTTAATGAGAGACTCAAACCTAACTAGCTATCTACTTGTTCAACGAGGAAACTTGTCTATGGATAATGACACCCCATAGTGTGAGAAAATGGGAGAAACTGTGTTATATAATTGAGTTAGGAAAACTTTGGCTGGTGAACCCCTCACACGTGTTTAGGCTAGAAAGTCCTAGATCATAGACTATCAATGTGTTATAACCCACGGTTTCATGTCAAAGGAATAAGGGGGATATAAAGGAGGTGTGATCATGCATATAATAAAAGGGGCACATGGTTGTATGTATTATGACCCCTGATGTTGATATTCATGAGTTTAACCCGATTCCATGTGAAACTATGTTAATAGATCATGTGATTATTTCTTTTCTTGTATGAAATGGTGTTTACTAATCATGATCCTTTGAGCATGTGCGATTATACTTGAAAATATGGATTTTATATTCTTGAGAATGATATGTGATTTGGAATCATATTATAATTAGCCACTTGCATTTAAATTAATTGACATACATTAGTATAAGTTAGTTGGAACTTGATTACTAAGTGGTTGCACTCACCCCATTATCTTCAATATTATAGGAAATAGTTCAAGAGGATCAAACAGAGGAAAACAATCAAAGGCATAGGATTTTACATCCTATTAGTAGGCTTCTTTTATCTTTTGAGTTTGTATGTGTATATGATGATTAATATTGCCAATTAGGACTACTCCATATGAAGCTTACTTGCATTATGTGTTGTGTGAATTGTAAAGTGTATTTTGTGCCCTAAGGTGTATGCATATGGCTTGCGATATCTATAGTAAGGCCAAAATACTAGTACAAGTGAGAGTTGTGCTGGAAATGTGATTTATATGGATAAATTGTTGATTCATGAGA